ACACCCCCCTCCTGTGTGGGCACCAGGAATCCTGATTCCTGGGAAGGGTAAAGGGTGGCACCCAAGGAGCCCAGACCCTTCTCAAAGGGGGAAGGTTTTCTCACAACTCTGTCAAAGAGCCACATTTTTCTTTCTTTTTCAGACCAGTAACAATGTCCAGAAAATATCTAGAAAAAGGAGGGAAATGGGAAAGCCCTAAATATAAATAAGAGGTCTGAAAAGTCCTCTTGAGATGGTAAATGGCATTGCAGGTTTTATTTTACTTTTTTTTTTTTTTTTTTTTGCCAACTATTGTGAAAAATTCTCATTTTAGCTATGAGAGTTCTAGCGGGTAATATTGCTTCTGAGAAACTCTTCTAAGGGCTAACATATTTGATTCTATGGAAAATTTAGGTAACTCCTGCATTTTCCCAGTTCCTGTTTTTCCTCAGAACACCTAGTGTTTTTGTATGATTACAATGTCATTGTTCAAGCAGTAATTTTGAATACTTTTTTATAGCTAGGCAATTTTCAAAAAAAAAAGACTTCTCTATAAAATCATAGATTTATGTTGAGAAGTAAAATGTGTAGAGAGCCATTTAGTGTTTTACTTGAAACCTTTAAGAATATCAGACTCTTCTAAAGAAGACAGAAGAATGGCCAACAAACATATGAAAAAATGCTCAACATCTCTAATCATCAGGGAAATGCAAATCAAAACCACAATGAGATATCACTTAACTCCAGTGAGAATGGCCTTTATCAAAAAGTCTCCGAACAATAAATGCTGGCGTGGATGCGGAGAGAGAGGAACACTCCTACACTGCTGGTGGGACTGCAAACTAGTTCAACCTCTGTGGAAAGCAATATGGAGATACCTTAAAGCGATACAAGTGAATCTACCATTTGATCCAGCAATCCCATTGCTGGGCATCTACCCAAAAGATCCAATGACACTCTACAAAAAAGACACCTGCACTTGAATGTTTATAGCAGCACAATTCATAATTGCAAGGCTGTGGAAACAGCCCAAGTGCCCATCAATCCAAGAATGGATTAATAAAATGTGGTATATGTATACCATGGAGTACTATTCAGCTCTAAGAAGCAATAGTGATATAGCACATCTTATATTTTCCTGGTTAGAGCTGGAACCCATACTATTAAGTGAAGTTTCCCAAGAATGGAAAAACAAACACCACATATACTCACCAGCAAATTGGTATTAACTGAACAGCACCTAAGTGGTCACATAGATACTACAGTAATAGGGTATTGGGCAGGTAGGAGGGGGTGGGTGGGTATATACATATATAATGAGTGAGATGTGCACCATCTGGGGGATGGTCATGCTGGAGACTCAGACTTGTCGGGGGAGGGGAGGAAATGGGCATTTATTGAAACCTTAAAATCTGTACCCCCATAATATGCTGAAATAAAAAATAAAAAAGAATATCAGACTCATCAAACTCAAAAAGACTTAGGTCTGGATGCAGTGCCTTCCCAAATTCCTGAACCTGTGCAGGTGGGAACTTAGCTTTTGCAGATCAGAGAGTTGAAGTCACCCTTCCCTCTTAGTATCTAGTGAAGGATTCTCACAAAAGAGGGTTAGTTGGAGAAAGTATTTGCTAGGAGGTTCTGGCTTTAGCTAAATGACTTGCTCAAGGTCAGACAAGCCAGAACTGAACTAGGGTTAGACATCAGTAGGAACCATATAGCAATCTCAGGCATTTTGTATCCCTTTATGAAGGTAAAATATCACAATTCAGGGTTATGTTGTATTTTTTTTTCTTTTAGATTTCAGAAGAGATTCACTAGAAATAATGTTGACCCTGCCCTCCATTCAAACAGATGAGCAGCTTGGAAAGCCCCCAGAAGTCATCATAAACCTTCACTAGTAGCTCCTCCCTAAAGAGAGTATACTTCCTTGAGCTAAAAAGCCTCCAAACTTGAAGGGGAACATCCCTTTTACTAAGAAAAGGTATCTAGATTGCTGTGTGTCTTGGGTATACAGGAAGCATATAACCCCCACGCCTCTCCACCCAGGATCGCTCAGTGTTTCCCTGTTTGAACTTGAGCTTAGGTTTTTTAAATATTGTAAATGATCTGGGCAGGTCTTTTCTAATATTTTTGTTATTAAGTTCTGAGTTTCTAACTTCTAAATTGCTGAATGTCACATTTTCCTCATGGTTCTAGCTTTCTCCAAAATGCACAGGAAATGTCTTTAGGTTTGGCAAGCTCTTCCTCACTCCCTTCTCCACACTCCTATTCCAAAAGCGTATATTCAGCAATTCAGAGCCTTTAAGTCATCTTCCCTTATTCACACTTTTTATGAAGTTAAAATGGTTTCATTTTCAATCAGCTGACTTAGAAGGACCATGTTTATCCTTAATGTTTGTCAGATATCCCTAAAAATCTCAACTATTTCTCTTCTAAACTTCTATAATGCTATTCCTACAAATGCATGCCAAGTCTGCCAGTCAAGTTTTCTTTATCTGAACTTATTTTTCAAATATAGCAGTGTGAGAATTAGAGGTAGGGTAAAGAACAGCAGAAACTGAAGGGCTGGAAACTAGATGGGGGCATTATTTGAAATAATCAGAATAAAAATTCCTACATTTCTGTAACACTCAACAAAATTTTTTTTTTGAGACAGTCTTGTTCTGTCACCCTAGCTAGAGTATCATGGCGTCAGCCTAGCTCACAGCAACCTCAAACTCCTGGGCTCAAGCAACCCTCCTGCCTCAGCCTCCCGAGTAGCTGGGACTACAGGCATGCACCACCATGCCTGGCTAATTTTTTCTATATGTATTTTTAGTTGTCCAGCTAATTTTTTTCTATATATTTTTTAGTAGAGACGGAGTCTCGCTCTTGCTCAGGCTGGTCTTGAACTCCTGAGCTCAAATGATCCGCCTACCTCAGCCGGCCAGAGTGCTAGGATTGAAAAAAAAAAAAAATTTTTTTTTTTTGAGACAGAGTCTTACTCTGTCACCCCAGCTAGAGTGCCATGGTGTCAGCCTAGCTCACAGCAACCTCAAACTCCTGAGCTCAAGCGATCCTCCTGCCTTGGCCTCTCAGAGTGCTAGGATTACAGGCATGACCACTCCAAAAGTACTGTTTTGAATACCTGCCTACCAGTGTTCTAGGCCCTGGTAAGACGGCAGTGAACAAAATAAAATTTTGTCCTCAGCAAGCTTAACTTCTACTGGAAGGAGACAGATAATAAACCCAATCAATAATTTACATGGTATATTAGAAAGTGATCTTTGCTTTGAAGAAAAACAAAACAGAGCTGGGGTATAGGGAGTGTTTTACTTTTTTTTTTTTTTTTTTGAGACAGAGTCTTGCTCTGTTGCCCTGGCTAGAGTGCAGTGGCATCATCATCACAGCTCACTGCAACCTCAAACTCCTGGGCTCAAGTGATCCTCCTGCCTCAGGCTTCCAAGTAGCTGGGACTACAGGTGTGCCACCACACCTGGCTAATTTTTCTATTTTTGGTAGACGGGTCCCCATCATGTTGCTCAGTTCTGGTCTTGAACTCCTAGCCTAAAGCCATCATCTTACCTTGGCCTTCCAAAGTGCTGGGATTACACACTAGGCTAGGGAGTGTTTTTTGTAAGTTTAAAATAAGGTGGCTTTCGAGGAAAGTCTTGAAGGAGGTGAACCAACCAGGTTATGCTGACATTAGGGAGAAGAGTCCCAGACACAGGAAACAAACAGCAAGTGTAAAGGCTCCCAGGGATTCCCTGGAGTGACTGAGCAATAGCTAGGAGAGCCTGGCTGGAGCAGCAGGTGACAAAGTCAGAGAAGTAATGGGAGGCAGCAGACCCTTTAGAGCCTTCTAGGATATTGTAGGTACTTTGGCTTTTACTGTGGTGAGATAGGAAGCCAGTGGAGGGTTTCAACCAAGAGAGTGAAAGGATCTGAGAAGATCACTGGTCGTTGGGATGAGAAGGGAAAGGGGCAGGTGTAAAAGACAGAGATCAGTTAGACAGATCGGTTAGACCACTGTGATCATCCCAGAAATTAATCAGAAGTGCTTCATGTGTTTACAAAAGGGGAAGAAACTGTGCTTGTAGAATAAAAAAAAAAAGTAGTGAAGCAATAATTTTTCAAATGTTTTAAATTTTGAGAAAAAGACCAGTTTGACAGCTTACTCTGCTACTGCCATCTCCTCTAGATGCAACGGTCTTCGGAGTTCAGAAGCTTGGTTTCCAGAATTTTTTGCTCCCGAGCGATCTATGACACTACCAGGGTTTGGTCAATGTGATTAAGAATGAATGAGCCTTTTTGGTTCTGCTTAGGATATCTATCTCCTCCCATTTCCTAAACTTGCCTGGGTGCCTATTGTCAATACAGATTCTGGGCTCTTCTCATTCTGTACGTATGGGAGGGGATCCAGGGAATATATTCTTATAGCAGTAATACGTGGGGGTTCTTATGACTAGGAAGTCTGGGAAACTGTCCTAACCCTCCCACCCTTAACTCTCGCACACCTTCTGGGGTTTGCGGCGGACCTGGAAAGCGCCGCAGGGCACCTGTGCAGCCCGCAGGTGGCGCTACCTGACCGCGAGTCGCAAAGGGCGCCCGTCCTCTAGGGAGAAGCGAGAGGCGCCAGGACAGCGGGTCGGCCCGGGTGCTGGGGCCACCCGGCGGCCACTTGCCCCGGCGGAGCTGCACGCATGAGTAGTGGGGGAGCATGACTGGTGCCCCCGCTTTTTGGGCTTGTGTGCATCCTAAGCCGCCCCTAGTCCGCTTCTCGGGCTCCTGGGGCAGAAGAGGCAGTGCTTTCTGCCCGAGCATTGACCACTGGGGAGCCAACAGGGGTGCGCAGCGAGAACCTGCCACTTCTTGCCACAGGGAATCAGTCCTACCCGGCCGACCCAAGCGCCGGGACCTACTACAGAGCCCCCTCAGGGAGGGCCGGACCGACGGCGGCTCCTTTCCATTGGCGGCCGGACGGAGGGCCCCGCCCCCTTTCCTACAGCTCTCATCTTTGACTGGCTCTCGGGTTCCGGCTGGCCACGCCTCCTCCCCTCGCACATACACAAGAGTCACGCGCCTTTCAGCTGGAAACTTGGCGTGCTGAGGGGGACAGTGGCCCTCATCGCCCCGCCCACTTACCGTGTCATTGGTCCGTGGCGCCGTGCACGACCACGCCCCCATTCCAGCCCCCTGGCTGGGAGGGCGGGCGCTCGCTCGTGATTGGCTGGTCGGCCTGTCTCTCGTCGGAGGGGCTGGCGCTCCGCTCCCTCCTCCTCCCCCCTCCCGCGAGCCTCGGGGTTCCTCAGCTGGCCGGGGTCGAATCAGTGTCAGTCAGGGAGGCGGACTGCTGAGCACTGGGTGCGGACGCTCGGTTGCAGTCTAGCCCCGGGGCTTGTGCCTGCGCTCGCGCCGCCGGGTGGGAAGGATGAAGCCGCAGCTGGAGCAGCCACCCTATGATTGGCTGTGGCGCTTGTGAACCCGAAGTAAAGATGGCGGGCGGGCAGGCAGCCGCCGCACTGCCCACTTGGAAGATGGCGGCGCGCCGCAGCCTCAGCGCCCGCGGCCGGGGGGTCCTGCAGGCGGCTGCCGCGCGGCTGCTGCCGCTGCTACTGCTGAGCTGCTGCTGCGGCGCGGGCGGCTGCGCGGCGGCGGGCGAGAACGAGGAGACTGTGATCATCGGGCTGCGGCTGGAGGACACGAACGACGTGTCGTTCATGGAAGGGGGGGCGCTGCGGGTGAGCGAGCGGACCCGGGTCAAGCTGCGGGTGTACGGGCAGAACATCAACAACGAGACGTGGTCCCGCATCGCCTTCACCGAGCAGGAGCGGCGGCCCCACAGCCCCGGCGAGCGCGGGCTGGGGGGCCCCGCGCCGCCGGAGCCGGACAGCGGCCCCCAGCGCTGCGGCATCCGCACCTCAGACATCATCATCTTGCCCCACATCATTCTCAACCGCCGCACTTCGGGCATCATCGAGATCGAGATCAAGCCGCTGCGCAAGATGGAGAAGAGCAAGTCTTACTACCTGTGCACGTCGCTCTCCACGCCCGCCCTGGGCGCCGGCGGCCCGGGGTCTGCGGCTGGCGCCGTCGGGGGCAAGGGCGGCTCGGGGGTGGCCGGCCTCCCGCCGCCCCCGTGGGCCGAGACCACCTGGATTTACCACGACGGCGAGGACACCAAGATGATCGTAGGCGAGGAGAAGAAATTCCTGCTGCCCTTCTGGCTGCAGGTGATCTTCATTTCGCTACTGCTGTGTCTGTCGGGCATGTTCAGCGGCCTCAACCTGGGGCTCATGGCCCTGGACCCGATGGAGCTGCGCATCGTGCAGAACTGCGGCACCGAGAAGGAGAAGAATTACGCCAAGCGCATCGAGCCGGTGCGCAGGCAGGGCAACTACCTGCTGTGCTCGCTGCTGCTGGGCAACGTGCTGGTCAACACCACGCTCACCATCCTGCTGGACGACATCGCCGGCTCGGGCCTCGTGGCGGTTGTCGTCTCCACTATAGGCATCGTCATCTTCGGGGAGATCGTGCCCCAGGCTATCTGCTCCCGGCACGGCCTGGCTGTTGGGGCCAACACCATCTTCCTCACCAAGTTTTTCATGATGATGACCTTCCCCGCTTCTTACCCGGTCAGCAAGTTGCTGGACTGCGTCCTGGGCCAGGAGATAGGCACGGTCTACAACCGAGAAAAGCTGCTAGAGATGCTCCGGGTCACCGACCCCTACAACGACCTCGTTAAGGAGGAGCTGAACATCATCCAAGGGGCGCTGGAACTCCGCACCAAGACAGTAGAGGACGTAATGACCCCCCTCCGGGACTGCTTCATGATCACGGGCGAAGCCATCCTGGATTTCAACACCATGTCGGAGATCATGGAGAGCGGCTACACTCGCATTCCAGTATTTGAAGGGGAGCGCTCCAACATCGTGGACCTGCTCTTTGTCAAAGACTTGGCCTTCGTGGATCCAGATGACTGTACTCCCCTGAAAACCATCACCAAATTTTATAACCACCCCTTGCACTTTGTTTTCAATGACACCAAGTTGGACGCTATGCTGGAAGAATTTAAGAAAGGTGGGAAATTTTAGTATCTTTCATTGGCTTGCTTTTTTCTCTCTCCATCCTCCTCCCTACTTGAGTCTTCTACCCTCAGACCAACCCCCCAAGGCGAGTTGACCGGAATTTCTCCTTCTCTCTCTTAATTGCAAAGTTGAAAGGGTGGTGTGGATTTGGGGACGGATTGAACTAGTAGTAAGCGCTTCTAGGTTCTTGAAAAGCACAAGACTGCCATCACTTACTTTGTTCCATGATTGAAAAGCAAACTTCCTAATTTATGTGCATGATACTCGTCCCCCTCGCCCCCCTCCCCCCCATCCCCCGCCCCCGTCTGCTGCATTCATTGTCTGGGTTCTGAGTGGGTAGGTGAAAGTAGGGGCTGGCTAATGCTCTGCCATTTGGTTGACATGTACTAATCACAGGCGTTTGGGAAACATTTAAATGGTTTTTCTGAACCCAGTGCAATCCTTTTTTCCTTCTCCTTAAGTATTCACACTGATGTTTCAAAGATTGGAAGTACATTTCCCATAGCTTCTGTTCCTGGTTGTCTGGCGACCTCTGGGGAAGATTGAGGTCTGCCTTTGAGGGTAGGGGATAGAGTAAGCCAAGTGCCACCAAAAAAATGACTTGCCTTAGCTAGAAGAGAGTCATCTTTAAAAAACAAAACAAGAGTTAGTTATTAATATATAACTTGGAAAGACAAGAGCTAAGTTAACCTTTTTTGAGGCGATGCCTATATATGTAGCTTTCTTTGCTATTTGTTTACATTTACCTGACAACACATAAAATTTCCCCAACTGAGTATGGTTTTGGCAAAAAGCTTGAACTTTTACCAGTAGGATGAATCCCTCTATTTATGATGGTTTATTTATTTATTGACTCTTTCTGTTTAAAAGTGTTCCTTTTTAACATTGATCCCCTGGTGCATTAAATTGAAATGTGTCACCAAGTCAACTCTCACTGCTCCAGGGTGTTTAGCAGGAAAGAGAAAAAAATACAGAGTCTGATGTGCTAACACAGCACATCATTTTTTGCATTGTGGGATTTTGTTTGTTTGTTCTACTGTGTAATGAACAGGTAAATAGTAACTCATATTATATTGAAATTCTGAAAGTTTCCAGTAAATAGCTAGTGTTATTTGAAAACTGAGGGATGCTATTTTTTAATTGCTTTGATGCCAGTGCATTTGCATGTATTGAAATGTGTATATAACCTTTCATGACCTAAAAGTGCTCAAAACTAAGTTTTCCTTCTCTAAAAAGAATTTTGATCACTGATAGTGGTCTCTGCCATGAAAAAGGCCATGTGTACCTGGTGACAGCTCACTGGATGTGATGATCTGAACATACTCAGCGAGTGTGTGATTGTCCTAATTCCATTTTTCTAGTTGAATAGTGTCCTCTTTAGAAGGGGATCACATTGCAGTTAATTTTCATATAAAGGAGTGGAGCAGAATGTGCTTTGGAGATTGATAATTTGCATTTAAAAGCAGAAGGAGATTCTTCTGGATTCTTAAATAGTAAAAAGAAAATATCCGGTATCTCTAGGTGACATTGCTTCTTTTGGGGGTGTCATGATTCTTTCACTGATAAGTCGTTAATTAGAGCATCTAATCAGTCTCTTCAGTAATTTTGCAGTAATACAGAAAGATATTTTGAAATGCATGAAAATACCTCTGAAAGTCCTTCTATTGATAACTTTCCCAGTATTGACACAGATAATTTATTGTATTTTTTTTCAAATATTCAGAAGTCTTGCACATTTACTGATAGATTGATGACACTAGTTTGTACTTCTTGCTGAAGTCCTTCCTTCAATGCTTTATTTTTTTTCTTTGAGAATTTATTCTTCACAGCTCACTAATCCTTCCCCTACTCAAAATTTCAAAATGTGCATTATTTTAAAATTTGTTTTTGGTTGTCCTTGAATAATTTTCCTTTGACATTTATTTTCATGAGAAAGAGTTTTCTTCTAAAATCACCTCACAGTATTTTTTTGAAATGTAGTCTTTAAATTAGTTACTAATATTTTCCCATGAATTCTGGGAAAATAATAATGTATAAGATTTTATTTTATTTTATTTTATTTATTTTTTTTTTTTTGAGACAGAGTCTCGCTTTGTTGCCCAGGCGTCAGCCTGGCTCACAGCAACCTCAAACTCCTGGGCTCAAGCGATCCTCCTGCCTCAGCCTCCCGAGTAGCTGGGACTACAGGCATGCGCCACCATGCCCGGCTAATTTTTTTTTTTATATATATATCAGTTGGCCAATTAATTTCTATTTATAGTAGAGATGGGGTCTCGCTCTTGCTCAGGCTGGTTTTGAACTCCTGACCTTGAGCAATCCGCCCGCCTCGGCCTCCCAAGAGCTAGGATTACAGGCGTGAGCCACAGCGCCCGGCCAAGATTTTATTTTTGTCCTTAACCAGAATTATGTATTGGGTTAAGAAGATAGTGCAAATTAAGGTATACATTCAAGCTGGTGGCATATTCAGAAGAGCAGGCAAAGACCGCACATTGGAAATTTAAGCCATGATCCTAAAAGGATGGAATGGATGGGTATTTGTTTATTACTTAGACTATTGGAATAATTGGTTTTTCACTTTACCTTTCTTGGGTTTCTTTGATGTTTGGTCAGTTTACTATCAGTTATATTAGAGTTCTTTTTTGAGATATAGTCTCGCTCTGTTGCCTTGGCTAGAGTGTAGTGGTGTCATCATAGCTCACTGCAACCTCAAACTCCTGGGCTCAAGTGATCCTCCTGTTTTAGCCTCCCAAATAGCTGGGATCACAGGCTCACACCACCATGCCAGGCTAATTTTTCTGTCTTTAGTAGAAATGGGGTCTCGCTCTTGCTCAGGCTGGTTTCCAACTCCTGACCTCAAGTGATCTTCCTGCCTCAGCCTCCCAGAGTGCTAGGATTACAGGCATGAGCCACCATGCCCTGCCAGGTATATTAGTTCTTTTTAATGTAGGGTTTCACCTGATTTTTTTCTTCTTCATTTTCTAATTTGATAATGACATAGTCTTAATAGTGGACCTTCTGTTGTTTTTCTCAATTGAATAGTGGTGCATGGAATAGTTTGAAGACTTTTTTCCTCCTCCCTTTCCCTCTCTCCTCACTTCTCCATTTCTAAGAAACAAAAACAAAACAGACACCCCCAACAATACCACTGTAACTCCCCCAAACTGGTTAGATCATTAATCTGGATCTCATTGAAAATTATCCTTCCTAATTAAGGATGCCTGTATTGAAACCTTTTCTGTTTATAGCTATACAGAATTCATGTAAGTTATTCTTTGCTAAGGAGGGGGAAACAGAAGGTTCTGTAATGTGGAAAGAAAAGCTACCTTTATATTAGTATATGTGAATATCTTCTTTCTAATGCATGGAACTTTTTTGTCTGGCTACCAGGAAATCCTTTGCTTTACTTGACCTTAGAAGATAGTAATTGTGCTAATTTTGCAGTTTGAGCTTGATGATGGTGGTGATGATGATGATGGTGATGATGATTACTTACCTATTTACTCTGTGCCAGGGACAGGGCTTAATGCTTTACATGAATCACCTTGTTTAAATCTCGCAATGGCTGAATGAATTATCTCCATTTTACAATTGAGGAAATTGAGGTTTATCCAAGGTCACACAATAATTTGTTTATTTGGGGTTTTAAGTCAGATCTGTGTGACACCAGAACTTGCTCTCTTAACCACTGTCTTCTACTAGTTCTGTTGATCCTGATTTGCCACTTCTGTTTTACTGAGTGGAAGGTTTGGTTCTTTTTTTTTTTTTTTTTTTTTTTTTTTTGAGACAGAGTCTCGCTTTGTTGTCCAGGCTAGAGTGAGTGCCGTGGCGTCAGCCTAGCTCACAGCAACCTCAAACTCCTGGGCTCGAGTGATCCTTCTGCCTCAGCCTCCCGGGTAGCTGGGACTACAGGCATGCGCCACCATGCCCGGCTAATTTTATATATATATATCAGTTGGCCAATTAATTTCTTTCTATTTATAGTAGAGACGGGGTCTCGCTCTTGCTCAGGCTGGTTTTGAACGGTTTGGTCTTTCATCCACACGTTGTCTCAGAGTCCATTGGGCAGTGGGACACAGAGATGTCTTTAAACATATACACAGCTTTAAACCCAATGCATCTGTGAGGTACGTAAGAGTTGGTATTCCTGTTTTTGCCATTAAATCATTTTTTTTGACCTGTGTGATCCTAAATCCAAAGAATTTTATTTGCAATATTTACATGTCAGGCATCAATATTCATTTTGGAAATGTTCTATACTAACATTGTCCAGTTCTAGTGTGCTACCTTCATGGGTCACCCTACAACAGTTTTTCTAATGGCTTAATTATGTAATTACGTTTCACTCTTGGTTTCTTATCGTTTTCTGTTGTAGGGGTCACACAGTAGTTTGTCAAACTCAGTTTTGTGTTCTAATATTGGTTTTTATTTGCATTTTTTGTGACTATCTCATAACTGGTTGCTAATGAACATCCATTACAACTCTGCCCCTCTATACTCCAATCTTTCTCTTTTTCTTTTGTCAGTTTTGTAGTTACCTATAAATCTAAATAAGAGAATTAATTCAGGACATCCCTCTAGAGGATTATGAGAATTTTAGAAAAACTGTCTAAAGCAAAATAGTGCCTGGGAAGGAAAGGTGAGATTAAAGGTGCAGAAAGCATGCTAGAGGCTCCCATTTGCCTGAGGGAACCTTCTTAACAAAACATCAGGCCACCTAGTTTTCTACACCTAGGCGAATTTGAAGAATTAGTAACCAGTTATTGTTTCATTGTTTGTATTTTAGCTTTGTAACAGTTGCATTCCAGTATTGCAGAGCTTGTTAGGGACTTAGCCAAGCTCTTTTCTAGCTTTTTCTGAGCTGCAAGCAGGTGAAATCACCAGATAATGTTGTTCTTCAAGGAAAGAATGCAGTGTACAATTTTCACTTAAAACATGAGCTAAATAATTATTTCTTTCCATAATTTAACAAGTCTTTCCATATTAATATGCCAA